TATCATAGTAGTCTTTTATTTATCTAGAAACCATGCATATATTGGTAATTGTTTGCATTTCTGTAAAACAAAAAATTTTCAAGGGGCCTGAAAACTTAGTAAGGCATTGTATATGTTTGATTATACCTCTGATTGTGGACACTCTTCCCTGTGATGTGTGAGTTTCTGTTCTCTCCTCTGGTGGAAACCATGAAACGAGCAACATCGATATTCTCCCCACCTTTATCTGACCTCACACGTGACGGCACACCATACAGGTTGACACCTTCTAAAAAGCTTGTCAGGACTGTAGCAGCTTTATTATTGGTGGCAGCGTTCAAATATACAATTAGACGGCTAAAGCCATCAATGCCACCATGAACCACAATACGCCACCTGGAACAGATATAAGAAAATTAATTTCAACAATATTAACAACTAGGCTTTTGAGTAATGATATAAAACACGTTCTACTATCTATAGTAAATCAAAACAGCCAAAATAGTATATCACATACTTAAGACGATACCTTTTACATACAGGGGTTGGACAAAATAATATGAACACCTGTGAAATAGACAATATTTCTTTATTAAGATGTTTTACCAAAATTTTATTTAATAACGATTATAACATTATTAGACTAGATTAACTGAACGTTTGAATAGTCTCCAGGTGAATGTTGTCTATCAGAACATCTGCCAGTTGGTTCAGAGATGTTGAAGGAGAGAATCTACTTCTCACTCTTCTCTCAAAAATATACTCTCATGATGGGAGAGGTGCCCGTGTCAAATAACATAGGGGTCTTCATGAAATTGGAGGCAGAGCTATCAAAATAGGGGTGTTATCCTTTTAGGTAGGGACATTTGCTTCAGTGATTTAAATTATAAACAGTCTTTCTCAGAAATCCTTTACTGGACCTTTAACAACACAATCAGAAAGATCTGCTCGTATAATTACACCAATAATGTCTATGAAAATTCGCAAAACAGTCAAACGGATGTTTCTCTGCTGATTAATGTTTCACCACTCATCCAAGCACATTCCTCAGTTCCCTAGCATTACACACACACACACAAAATGGCATCACATGACATTATCCAATTACTTATTATATGATCTTGCTGGATGAATATTAATATTTCATAACATTTGGTAAGAGTCATTGGAAATTTAGGTTGACAAGAAAGATCCTTCTTGTGAAAAACAACATTCAGATATACATTTTAGAACAGTGTATTGAGGATTTTGGCTGAAGAAGACAGGTCTGATTGCCATCTTATCACAAAGTTCTTTCAACCTTACCCCAACAAATTTACACTTGCGGTCTACATGGTAGTTATGAAATTTAAATGCTGAAAATCACTGTGATAAAGTGATCTTGATCTGCATTGAATTAAGCTATGAACACACATCCCTCCAATTACACATTCATGCTTTAATTTTCTTTTGTTCAACTGTACAACCATTTCCTATTCAGTCTGAAATAGAAAACACATCCAGATGAACATGATAAATAATATTCTACTGTTGTCAGCATACCTTATTAACTTATGGTTACCATCGATGTGCCATAAACTGTTGGGTGCAGGGACTGTGTATTTTCTACGCCTCCGGGGGTTCAGTTGAAGACTGCGCATAAGGACACCCTGGGGATCCACGCGTCTCATGGATCCTTGAACATGTCTCCCTACAAAAAGTAAATTCATCAATATGCATAGTAAACATTCCAGTCTTTGAGTTCACCTTTGGCATGCTCAGTGGGGACCTAAAAGACAATATTCAAAAATATTACTGTACTGACACTATCAGATGTGAATACAAAAACTTGAAATCAACTGAGCTCAATAAGGACACTTCTGAGATGTTTTACTAGCTTAAAATCATGTAATAATGAACTCTGCAACACTGACACCATTTCAAAGGAGCTTCACAGTAATGCACAGGTAAAATAAAATCTGTATTGTATAAATAATTGCATTGTATATATATATATATATAAAAAAAAACATAATTGTCTATTTCTATTTTACCCAGGGATGCTACTATGTCAAAGTACAAAACCTGCCTTACTCTGTACTCGAAAGCCCTGTGCACCGATATGTCCAACCATCATTTTATATCCGGCATTTGGGTGACGCTTTAGTACATCTTCTACCAAAGCATCCAGTTCAGCGTCCTCCAGAGTTGAAAACAGGTCGCTTACTCTATGAGAATAAAATAAACCCATTATCAGCAGCTGTGCAATGTTTCCAGCAGTTTGACCCATTGAGAGATAAGTTTCAATTGTGCTTATCGGAAGCAAGTACGATGGACGTCCCATCGTAGTACAATCTGCCTCGCACAGATTTTGTTGTGCAACTCTCTCGCTATTTGTGAAACGTCCGCCATAGTATACACACGCGAGAGCTACAACCTGTCACCACTCTACAAAGCCAGAGTAACCGAGCAATCGCTTCAATCAACGATTAACCAATGGTAAGCAAGACCTATTAGCAAGACCAACCCACCTAATTATCATACATGACAAAGAAATGTAAGAATAAATATGAAAAAAAAAAAAAAAATTTTTTTTGAAATAAATAAAAGTAAAAAATAAATACATCTGGAAATAAATACATATTGGAATAAATATAAAAATAAATGAATCTATAAATAAATAAATATAAAATAAATGGGAAAATAAATAAATAAAAGAATAAAATAAATTCAAAAGAAAAGCAGAAAATGATAAAGGGGAACAATAATTAAAAAAATGAATTTTATTAAAAATTAATCATATTTATTTTATCAAGTCGTTTATTCATTCATTTATTATCATATTATCACATTTATTTATATATTTATTCATTAACATTTTTATTTATTCATTCATTCATTTTTTATTTCTGCAGGTTTGGTCCTCCATACTGAGGCTTCGGCTACGGCTAAGCGTCTGCTCGTCGGTTCGGCTAAATGTTGAAATAAATAAAAGTAAAAAATAAATACATCTGGAAATAAATACATATTGGAATAAATAAATATAAAAATAAACGAATCTATAAATAAATAAATATAAAATAAATGGGAAAATAAATAAATAAAAGAATAAAATAAATTCAAAAGAAAAGCAGAAAATGATAAAGGGGAACAATAATTAAAAAAATGAATTTTATTAAAAATTAATCATATTTATTTTATCAAGTCGTTTATTCATTCATTTATTATCATATTATCACATTTATTTATATATTTATTCATTAACATTTTTATTTATTCATTCATTCATTTTTTATTTCTGCAGGTTTGGTCCTCCATACTGAGGCTTCGGCTACGGCTAAGCGTCTGCTCGTCGGTTCGGCTGTGTTCGGGTGACTCCGTGAATAACGGACTCTCATCCATTTTGCATAGTTACGCGTGTGTGTCGAAGGCTGCTCTGCTCCTGCGATCGGTATCACACCGTGAAGAACGTTTTTCCTGCAATGGACGGGTAAGTCTGCGTTGTTTACAGAATAAGAGAAAAAAAATTGCTATTTTTGAGAGTAGCTTAAATTCATTCTGAAACGATTTTGGTCGCAATCTTGAGCGCTCTGACAAGGCCGTTCGCGCAGACGGGTGATGCATAAGCCAACGTTGGCTAATAATAACAAATGCATGCTAGCTCCGCAGATCATATTTTACCGCTGAATATATGCGTTGTGTATACAGAATATCAAATAGCAACCTGCAGAATAATTTAACATCAGTCTATGAAGTGTTTCGTATAATGTGAATTACAGTGACATGTAATGTAGCGTAGCTCCGCGGCTAACGGTACTGTTGCTGCGAGTGCGGGCGCGTCTGATTTCCTTTGTTTGAACTGTAACGGTCACTCGTTCCAGCCACGAGCGGAATATTAATTTATCGTTACAGAATACGACTTTATTATGCACAATTTGCGTTTCAAACCTCAATTTTCTACGCGCACTATTAAGCTTCTTATAACAAACTGCTGATAATACTGTCCGTATTGTTGAACAATTAATATTTGTAATTGAGAAATTAGTGCACTGATGACATGTGGTGTGGCATGGATGTGTATGTGATTTCGAAAGTGTAACAGAACATACAGCCCAGAATTCATCGGCATTGTTCTGTTTTCTCCCTTCAGCATTGCAAGTGATGTTGCAGTTGGTGTGAAGGTAAGTGTTTTTCTTTTCTTTTCTTGTCTTCACTTAATTTTAAGATATTGTATCAAAACATATGCAACAAATCTGAGAGAGTAACCGCCTCCACAGGTCCACATTATCTTGGGATATTGTGAACAATGGAATAATGTAAAGTTATGACTTATACATCATTTTAATTATTTGAACGATTTACTGAATTTGCAGTGTACATCTGTGTCTTTCTAGAGAAGCTCAGATGAATTGCTGTCTGGCAGTCTGTACAACAGTCCAAATTCTTCAGTCACTGGTAAGAGGAGGGAAGACAATTGTAAACTGGGTTTTAAAGATGCATCATTATAGATTTGTGTGTGTGTCTGTGTCTGTGTGTAATTGATAACCAAAAACTAAGTTCACAAGGAATACAAATAATGAAAATTCCACAGAAACGCCACACATTTGAGAACTATCATTCACAAAAGACCACCGATTTGGTCCTCTTAAGCCTGGCTCACACTACAGGAGTTTTAAAATCCTAACCGATTATGAAATCTGGTTGCAGCACACACATAAGGAGAATCTTTGCAGATTATCTTCTCTCAAATCTTAAACATGCACACACTACAAGATTTGAACATCATGGCGCATCACACACTACAAGATATTATTAAGATGATCATGCCAGAGCGAGCGCCTCACGTGATCGCCTCGTGACCAGGGCATGTCTATGTGGTGGCCAGGGGTGGCACCGGCCCCCCCTGAAATCTGGCTGGCCACCCCAGGTGCCCCCCCCTACCAGATATCTTGCGATAGGCTTGTTTTTAGTAAATGTCTAACGGCATCTGGCAGTGGCGGATCCTGTGTAGGCAGCTGCCTAGGGCCGCATTCTTCTCTTCTTTATACTTAATTTTAAGTGGTCAGATCGGGAGGTGCAAGATTCGATCTGTGAACGCCTCACATTACCAGATAATCCGCGCCGAACATAGGGACCGATCGAGGGGCTCGACAAGATTTTTGCTCCAATTCTCGGGAGGGGGAAATCGGGGCTAAATCGGGCTAAAAATCCTGTAGTGTGAGCCAGGCTTTAGATGGCTGAAAAATCTCCCGAGCGCTGTCATTGCCTTTCGCCATTTTGTCTCGTGCAAAAAAAACAACAACAACATTGCATGCTGCTTCTGCGTCAGACTGATGCTGGCTGGACAGGATTTACCGTGATTTTTCAAAATCGCGATAATCAAATACGTAAGTTTTGATGATAAGTTTTGATGATAATTCAATTTTAAACGATAATACTAACCGTCAGGGCATTTTATCGTGAAACCGGTAATCGTTCCATCCCTACTTGTAAGTGAATGTGTCGTTTGCAAACCTTTATAATGATCTTGTTAGTTGATTTATAATGCACGATGGACACTGCCATGTTAGTTTGCGCTGTAATTCAGAGAATCATATCTGTCTGATTCACAACATGTAAATTCATCCGTTTCTCATGAAATACATGAAAGTAAGTGGCCATTGAACTGGGAGAAGAATAGAGTGGCCAATATAGTTACCTACACAATGTGTATCCGATATGAATAAAACATATTGTCAAATTATAATTGAACGGATTGATATTGCTGCTTCTGTTGACATCAGTGTGTATTTTACAAACTATAAATGTATTGTTTTGCTAGTACTTATGTGTATTTAAAGGGTTAGTTCACCCAAAAATGAAAATTCTGTCATTAATTACTCACCCTCATGTCGTTCCACACCCCTAAGACCTTCATTCATCTTCAGAACACAAATGAAGATATTTTTTATCAAATCCAATGGCTCAGAGAGTCCTCCATTGACAGCAATGCCACCCAAACTTTCAAGATCCATAAAGGTAATAAAGTCATTATTTTTGTTTTGTTTTTGCACACAAAAAGTATTCTTGTCGCTTCATAAAGTTATTGTAGAACCACTGTAGTCACGTCGACTGTTTTAACGACATCTTTAGTACCTTCGTGGATCTTGAAAGTTTGGGTGGCGTTGCTGTCAATGGAGGCCTCTCTGAGCCATCGGATTTGATCAGAAATATCTTCATTTGTGTTCTGAAGATGAACGAAGGTCTTAGGAGTGTGGAACGACATGAGGGTGAGTAATTGATGACAGAATTTTCATTTTTGGGTGAACTAAACCTTTAAATGTCTAAAACCTAAAATAAAAATAATGTGGTTGAAAACACTGCATAGTTGTGATTATATGACAAACGCCGAGTTCGTCCGTCTCTGGCTCAGCGCCAGCTGAAACGCAGAAGCACATTTGAATCTGGCAGTTATGTGACATCACTGAACATTCTAAATCCCATATGTGGGACTATACTCCCAGGGGCACAGAAATAACAATTCCACATGTGGGACGTAACCCTCTTAAATCACTACAAACCATGGGCTTTATGGGGCTTATTGCTTTTATAAAATTGTTGCATATACCTGGCAAGGTTTCATAAAATATGCTAACAGCATCAAAAATATAATGATTTAAAGGGTTAGTTCACCCAAAAATTTAAATTAGCCCACAAATTACTCACCCTCAAGTCATCCTAGGTGTATATGACTTTCTTCTTTCAGACGAATCCAGTCGGAGTTAGGGCTGAACGATTTTGGAAAATAATCTAATTGCAATTTTTTTTTACCAATATTGTGATTGCGATTTAATAAGCAAATATTTTTTAAAGCTCTTTATGTTCTGTATTATTCAACAAAGACAAGCTATAAATCATTGTATAGTATGACCAACACTATTAAATAGATTAAACATAAATGTTCTTTTCTGTAGGCCAGGCCTATATGTTACGATGAAATTGGGTGATGCATGAATTGATATGAATGACATTTTTATTTAACAACTACAATCACAGTAGTATATTGACTGATTTGTTGAACTTCCAACCTTGTAAGCATGTAATAATTATGACAACATAAAGCACTGACAAATAAGCCTGGTGTAAACATTAATATGAAAGTCAGTAACAAATCACACAAACTAAAGTAGATTGCAGAAATATAAAAAAATCTGTTGCTTTACCACACTACTTTAGGTCATTCAAAGTCACTGTAATAAACATATGTAAACATGTGGACTGCACTAAACACTGTCTGTTAACTTTAGACCAGTGGTTCTCAAACTTTTTTGGTCGCGCCCCCCTTTAAACCTATAAAAAAAAGCATTTTTTTGTTGGTTTCATGCTGTCCGCTAAGGCATAGGACACACAAAGGCTTTCCTCCTCACCAACTACATTAAACACAGTGTCAACACCAGACGCAAGCGGCAAAATACAGTAGAACCATTATAATCAGTGACGCTGTCTACACGCGACACACCAAAACCCAACATTAAACTGATGCCGTGTTCTATTTATGATGTACTGACACAAAGTTAAAATGATATGCAACAGTCACTTTGTCGCGTCCAGTGTAGAGCTGTTGCGGCACGGCGTCCGGTATAGACACAGTGAGTGAAGCCGAGACCAAGATATGCCTCGTCATATTTTCTGCATTTAGCTTTTTAGCATTAAATGACCAGCACCTGCCTGGGTCTGGTCGACTTCATCTATGGCTTTTCTCTTCGCTTTCACAAACCGATCCATCCAACATTTGTTAACAGGAGCAAAGGAAACAAAGTTTCCTTAGCAAAGGAAAACCAGTCTCCTCTTGGCTTATATCGAAATCCTCCGACATTCTTCTTTACAAATCCTCATTTTGTACTTTTAATAAGTGACCGGTGTTTTGTTTTAATCTCTCCCCTGCGCTTCCGCAAGCGTCACTTCTGAGCGGCGCATGCGCAAAGCTGACCTCATAAGTCATCCGCCTGGAGCTGCTTCCGTGTAGGACTATTGGCGCAAGCTACATTAAAGTGATTATAACGTTTTGAATATGGATATTTTTCTTAAAAAAATGAATTTTTTTATGGATGGGAGCTTTTTATTTATCTTCTTTTGGACTGATGCATGCAACACCCGCTGAGTGACATTAAACAGCTTGAAAGATCAAATACAATTTTTTATATAACTCCGACTGGATTCATCTGAAAGAAGAAAGTCATATACACCTAGGATGACTTGAGGGTGAGTAATTTGTGGGCTAATTTTCATTTTTGGGTGAACGAACCCTTTAATGATAACAAATTATTCTTCTGCTAAGCAATGTAGTTCCTCAGCAAACATTTATCAACACAGCAAAACTCAGATGCAGTGGCACAGTAATACTCCTGTAATAAGGTCAGAGGTGTGTGTTTAAAGAGTATTTTATTAGTTTCATTTATTAGTTTCAAATGTGGCTCATACAATCATAATAATATAATTTCCCCAGTTAGTAATATAATTTATATATATATATATATATATATATATATATATAAATGTTGGTCCAATTTATTTAATTAAATCTCATAAAAACCTGATAAAACCAAATAAAAAACAAGTTTTGAAGTCCAGGTGTATTTCTGATTTATTTGACAGCTAATGGAAGTGACAGTAAAAAACTAAGGGTGGAGGACAGCATGGATAGCCCACCATCCAGAGTCATTCATATCCGGAAACTCCCCAATGAGGTTTCCGAGACTGAGGTCATCGCCCTGGGTTTGCCCTTTGGAAAGGTCACTAATATCCTGATGCTTAAAGGCAAAAATCAGGTATGTGAGGGACATTAAACCAAGCTCCTGTTGTAATAGCAAGGAGATAGATCTTCTGAAATTCAATTTAATGTTTAAAATGTCTGTTAAAGCTGTTTCTCTAATTGGGTGAACAAAGTTTTTGCTCATTCATTTGGAAAAAGAGTCTGTTTCTTCATTTTGAACACTTTTCCTCAATTAGGCATTTTTGGAGCTAGGAACAGAGGAAGCAGCTGTTACTATGGTGAACTACTACACAGCTGTTACACCTCAAGTGCGTAATGTCCCAGTGTTCATTCAGTACTCCAACCACAAAGAGCTCAAGACTGACAGTGCGCTCAACCAGGTTAGAAAATACACCCCTTCTTGTTTAAAATTTTCATAACTAAAATGATATCAGCAACAGAAGTGTGTAATAAGCGTAGTTCTGGTCCTAATCGGTTGCCCTGCTTTCCATCTGAAGCGAGCTCAGGCCGTGCTGCAGGCGGTGTCCGCGGTCCAGGAGGGTGGCTCTCCAAGCTCGGCCGCAGGCGAGAGTGTGTTAACGCCTGCTCCCAGCCCAGTACTGCGAATAATCATCGACAACATGTTCTACCCAGTCACCCTGGACGTCCTCCAACAGGTCACTGGCCACAGCAGGCATCCATCAAAAAAAGCAAGCCAAATATTTTTTTTAAACACTCGTGCCTCTGAATTAACAGGACTTTTTATTGATCTCTCTTAGATCTTCTCCAAGTTTGGGACTGTCATGAAGATAATCACGTTTACCAAAAATAATCAGTTCCAGGCTCTTCTGCAGTTCAGTGACCCAGTGAATGCCCAGCAGGCCAAACTGGTGAGTGAACGAAAAGGAAGATTGAAACCACCGCAAAACTCCATAAATGTGTAATGATGTGCCAAAGCACTGTTATGAGATTTTTAATGTGATGGTTATGGCCAAAGGCAAATTATGATCCAGTCATATGTTGGTTTAGTACCTTTCTTTCATGTATGTGATGAAATGACTGCAGTTGTCATTACTTGTAGAGGACTGTTTTTATTACTTTGAGCCAGGGCCCTACATTATGCACTGGCTGTAATTATTCTTATCCTTATTCACCTATGTCATAGAATAACAAATGTCTTGCTCTCATCCTCTGTCTTTCTTTTTCGATAACTTTCATTAAAGTCCTTGGATGGTCAGAACATATACAACTCCTGCTGCACTTTGCGTATTGACTTCTCCAAGCTGGTCAACCTGAACGTAAAATACAACAACGACAAAAGCCGGGATTATACCCGGCCCGAGCTGCCCGCAGGAGATGGTCAACCACCCGTGGACCCATCTGTGGCCGCCACTCTCAGCAAAGATTCCACCTCCCTGCTCGGTAAGTTAGAAAACACTCATGTGTGCCTCAAATGCAAACGTTGCTCAATCACACCTTTAAGACCCATCTTCCCTGTCATTCTCTGACATGCATCATCATCTCCTGTCTGCATAGCTTCAGAACAGAGTAGAGGTGTGAATGCTTCCCCTCTATTATGATTCATGAGAGTTTTCTAGTTCTTAGTGGAAAATGGGTCAATGGTGCCTGAAATGCAATCCGGTCTAATTGATGTGCCATTCAAACACGTTGCTTTACGTTTTTGCCGCTTCCACAGCCCCCAGTCTGTGTTTGATCCCGTAAGACTTTGACTGTACACGTTCTCCTTAGGTACTCCCTCTGGAATGGTAACTTCCTACTCTAGTGGTGGAGGGTTTCCATCTTCTCTAGGTACCTATTCTTCCATTTACTTTCCTTTTTTCTTTTGATTTTCTAACCCTACTTGAATGCGCTCTTCCTTCTGAAGGACAGGGACTTTTCCAGTGCTGTCAGAATTGGCAGGGCTTTCATGTTGAAACCACCCCAACCATTTGTCCTGACTTGACATGCAGGATTCATAAACAGTGTCGCTATTTGTCAAAGCATAAATCTGAAGCTGCAACAATAAGCCCTTCCATTCGGCATTTTAGGCCTGATGTAATAGATTGACACGCACACTAATTAGGGGCCTGTATTTCAGACAGACTGGCAATCCAAACTGCCAAACACAAGTTCCCTTTAGCTAAAGCAGAGCGGCCTATTGAGCGACTAACTACAGCAAGCAGACAGGGCCCTAAAAGCAATTTTGTTTTCGGATATTGCTCTAGAGCGCCAGTCTGTGTGAAATCGTTTCAGATAGTGATCTGCCTAGCGGCAGATATTGACTCTGGGATGTGGGTTTGCCCGAGGTCTGTGCTGTTGGCTGCGTAACTGGATGTGCTTGGTGTGGTGGGTGCAGACAGATAGAATGCATGGCCACAGGGCAGATCCACCTGAGATGCTGAGCTTTTGGCTGTTCTGGGCTGTGTGGACTGACATGGTCCGGCTTCTCTTCTCTCTCTCTATAGGGGCCATCAGCCCTCTGAGTGCAGCGGCGGCGGCGGCGGCAGCAGCTGGGAGGGTGGCGTTGTCTGGACATTCGGGACCTGGCGGAGTGCTCCTGGTCAGCAACCTCAACGAAGAGGTCCGTACACCCCCACAAAACACACACACACACACACACAAACATATCCCTGCTCCCTCTGTTCACAGTCTTTTCATTATGTCAGTCAGGTCACCAGTACACTGTATGTCCCAGGTTGTTTATGTTCAGTCCTCATCTGTTAAAGATCATTTTTGAGTTTGAGGGGCCTTAACATAACCTTCATGACATTTAGCAGCAGAGCAGCGTTAACATACTTGAAATGTTGTTGTGTCGTGAGAGTAGAATAAAGAAGAATTCTTGGGGATGTCATAAGCTTTTTCAGAATTGTTAAATGTTTTTTCAATAAATACTAGAGCTGGGTAAAAATTTATATTTTTTTAAATTAATCTTTACCATCAATTGCAAGATCAAATATCATTCTTAAAACCACAAGATAATTTTAATGCATGCCTGTTTTTAGCACACGAGTAAAACATTTTTAATATCACATGATTTTATTATTTACATTTCTACGTCATTCCAAATCTTGCAACATAATGCTGCATTATATTTGCTTTATTAACCTGTAAGGGCCCAAAATACATAAATGAGAAAATGAAAGAAATAGTTCACCCAGAAATGGAGATTCTGTCATCATTTACTCGCCCTAATGTCAAGACCGTAAGACTTTTTTTCTTCTTCGGCACACAAATGAAGACATTTTTAATATTCTCTCTTCATTTTTGTCCATCCATTGAAAGTCCATGCAGCCAAAACTTTAATTTGTCAAAAAAGTCTTTGAGATATCGTAAAAGTAATCCATATGAACAGAGCTGTTTAATACAAGAAGTCTTCTGAAGAGACAAGATAGCTTTAAAGCTGGAAAACACTTCACAACTTCACTTCCCAATTTATAGTCTGGACGCTTCATCCGATGATAGTTATGGATAGTCAGAACCAAGGTGCATTATTGGGCAGTCGATTTCACAGAAACCACATAGTGTATGATGGGCACAAACTTTTTTTTTTCTTTTTTTTTAAGCTTCAGATTATAATTCCTTCCAATAGTTGAAGGATATCAAACATTTTTTTTATGTTTTGGGACAACTTTAGAACACATTGTTTACATTTGTCTTGGCAACAAGGCTGTGTGTTTTTGCTTTAGAACATCTTGAAAGTTTGGCAAAGTATGATCCTCATCTGTTTAGTGAATGGTGCCCAATTGTTCCTAAAACCCTTTAAAAAGTTTGCAGGCCTTTATCCACATATAATCTTTGATCAGCGTACCTACACATAGATACTCAACCTTGCTTGCTTCATGTGCCAAAGCAAACCTCATTGGTCCCCACTTGTCTAGCAGGCATGTTGAGCTTCCGTGTTTGCCATATTTGCTGAGATTTATGTATGTGTGATGATCAATGTTTATATGTGAATAAAAGCCTAAATTTAATCTAAATTAGAACAACATGTGGGAGAGTAAATTATGACAGAATATTAACTTTTGGGTGAACCGGGAGTATGTTTGTCACAGTGCACTCTACGACAAAAAAATAAAATAAATATAAAAATAATTTGTGCCAATACCCAGCCCTTCTAAATACATCATCGGGGCTTCCTTCATTCCAAAAACACTGTAAACACATTCCCATGTTAACTTTGCTCTTTGGAGGGATGTTTTAAAGTGGAAGTGAAGCAGTCAGTCAAGTTTTGTAAACTGATTTCCACTTTAATAAAAAAAATATATATATATTTATATACTGTGTGTTTGTGTGTGTGTGTGTGTGTGTGTGTGTGTATATATATATATATATATATATAAAACATGATTAATGTAACCAATTAATAGAAAAAGGATGTTTTTTTGTTTGTTTTGCTTTTGGAGCAAGAGTGTCGACTTCTTGCAATACCACAGCATGTGACATCACAGGGTTGGTTTTCTCCATTGGCAAGTGAAGTAATATAAGCATTTCTTTACTTTTGACAATCTATCACTGCGTGAGTACCTCATTGAAATCTTTTTCGTGCTGTCTCATGCTTGAATGGCTTAAAACAGTTTAATGTTTAAACTGAGAAGACTTAAAACCAAGCGGCAACCTCCCGCTCTCTCTCGTGATGCCAACAAGTGACTTAAACTGTAATTCATCAACGGGCCGCTAAAGGGATCATTTGCTGGCTGCAAAAGGGAGTCAATCCCATAGACTCCCCATGTTAAAATGCCCAACTTTACAGCAGAAAATAAACATGTTTACAGCCTGGTTCAAAAAATTATTTTGGTTTATACAACCCTCTACGCACACCTTGGCAATATAATCACCATTGGCTAGTAATTTTTTTTGTTTACTCTCCAGACTGATAAACTATTTTACACGCGCACACACACTCACACACACACACACACACATGATTCCACCCAATCAGCTTATCTTTGTAAAATGGAACAGCTTCTTAAATAACTGAATGTGCACTCTTCGGCCAATCAAGCATTATATTATGATAATTAAGCACTATTTAATGATAGAACTAGTGATTAGAACTAAAACTTGGTAACCTTCTGCTTGTTCTTAAAAGCTGAATAATTCTAAATGAACTCTGTTATTTTGACAGGAAAATACAACAAAGAATATGGTTTACATGTAGCGTGTCGATTCAGCGTGGTATGCAAGACTCTCGCTCTCTCTCTTTGCATGTGTGAGAAACACAGCGCTATCAGTAAAGCGACGGCGAGTCGTGCGCCTTCACACTAGTTTACGGTGCGTCAAATACAGGTGCGCTGCGTGCTACATACTGCGCATCCATTGAGTACATGACATGATCCATTGAGCGCATCCAAATAGTACAGATCGCTTGACGGAGAGCGAAACTCTCAAGCGCTCAGTCAGCGTGTTTATCGAGTGAAAATCTGTGTTGAACGCCTCTCACACATCAAAATCTAAGAATTTATTAGCCAATGGCTAATGTTAAGACGTTATTTAGTCGCCCATAGTAAGATTTAGTAGCATATGCGAGTGATTTACTCGCAGTGTAGAGGGTTGTTATACAGCAAATTTTGCCCTTCATGACAACTGTGAGGGGGGTGGATTTAAATTATATTAAGCCTTAAAGTTCTGCATAATTAAGGGTGTGGCCACTTGAGTGACAGGTGGATTGCCGCTGCCGTCACCACCATCGAGCTAGGTGGGCATGGTTTCAGCAACCAGTTCCCGCCTTTTTGCCCATTTTCGATTATCCGGGAGTGACGCACTGCCAAGATGGCGACGGCTGGCTCTGCCCACGTACATTGTCTGCTGATATAAGGTATTTCATTGCACTTTCAAAAGTAATCTGAACAGCCTATATATGTGCAATAATTTAACTGAGCCCCCACTAACTTGAGTTAAATGCCACTGTTATGTTAGAACGCATCTCATTCTTGTTTCTGTGGTGGTGCGTCGGGCTCGTCATGGGGTGCGTGGTCCGGAGCGCTGTATGACTGATGTATCCGTTTCATTGAACTTTACTGTAAATATATGAACTTACCTGTTTTAAATACCTTTATATTTAACGAAATGCCCAACTTTACAGCAGAAAATAAACATGTTTACAGCCTGGTTCAAAAAATTATTTTGGTTTATACAACCCTCTACGCACACCTTGGCAATATAATCACCATTGGCTAGTAATTTTTTTTGTTTACTCTCCAGACTGATAAACTATTTTACACGCGCACACACACTCACACACACACACACACGATTCCACCCAATCAGCTTATCTTTGTAAAATGGAACAGCTTCTTAAATAACTGAATGTGCACTCTTCGGCCAATCAAGCATTATATTATGATAATTAAGCACTATTTAATGATAGAACTAGTGATTAGAACTAAAACTTGGTAACCTTCTGCTTGTTCTTAAAAGCTGAATAATTCTAAATGAACTCTGTTATTTTGACAGGAAAATACAACAAAGAATATGGTTTACATGTAGCGTGTCGATTCAGCGTGGTATGCAAGACTCTCGCTCTCTCTCTTTGCATGTGTGAGAAACACAGCGCTATCAGTAAAGCGACGGCGAGTCGTGCGCCTTCACACTAGTTTACGGTGCGTCAAATACAGGTGCGCTGCGTGCTACATACTGCGCATCCATTGAGTACATGACATGATCCATTGAGCGCATCCAAATAGTACAGATCGCTTGACGGAGAGCGAAACTCTCAAGCGCTCAGTCAGCGTGTTTATCGAGTGAAAATCTGTGTTGAACGCCTCTCACACATCAAAATCTAAGAATTTATTAGCCAATGGCTAATGTTAAGACGTTATTTAGTCGCCCATAGTAAGATTTAGTAGCATATGCGAGTGATTTACTCGCAGTGTAGAGGGTTGTTATACAGCAAATTTTGCCCTTCATGACAACTGTGAGGGGGGTGGATTTAAATTATATTAAGCCTTAAAGTTCTGCATAATTAAGGGTGTGGCCACTTGAGTGACAGGTGGATTGCCGCTGCCGTCACCACCATCGAGCTAGGTGGGCATGGTTTCAGCAACCAGTTCCCGCCTTTTTGCCCATTTTCGATTATCCGGGAGTGACGCACTGCCAAGATGGCGACGGCTGGCTCTGCCCACGTACATTGTCTGCTGATATAAGGTATTTCATTGCACTTTCAAAAGTAATCTGAACAGCCTATATATGTGCAATAATTTAACTGAGCCCCCACTAACTTGAGTTAAATGCCACTGTTATGTTAGAACGCATCTCATTCTTGTTTCTGTGGTGGTGCGTCGGGCTCGTCATGGGGTGCGTGGTCCGGAGCGCTGTATGACTGATGTATCCGTTTCATTGAACTTTACTGTAAATATATGAACTTACCTGTTTTAAATACCTTTATATTTAACGTGTTCGTTTATGTCCAATATTTAGTGTTAAACTGTTGGTCTTTAAAAGAAATCTACTATTGATTTTCACTGTTGACTGATTTTGCAGACCTTTTAGACGGATAGCTTCTGTGCGCCGATGCGGCAAACTTGTCACAGGATGCGCGGTCCAGTGATGTATGACAGTTTTATCTGAATATATATGAATAAATATTTTCAATACAGTATTTTTATATATAACATGTTAGTTTATCAGTATGTTTGAAAGTATATTATTTCGATTATTGGTGCTTCCATAGGCTCACTCTCGTGCATTTATTTTGTTTTGGTTTTGCGGTTTTGTATTTAATTGTGGGCAGTCGTGACCTAATGGATAGAGAGTCTGACTTGTAACCCAAAGGTTGCGGGTTCGAGTTTTGGGCCTGCAGGGATTGTAGTTGGGGGGAGTGAATAACCAGTGCTCTCTTCCACCCTCAATACCACGACTGAGGTGAGACCCTTGAGCAAGGCACAGAACCCCCAACTGCTCCCCGGGCACCGCAGCATTGCCTGCCACTGCTCCGGTTGTGTGTTCACTGCTGTGTGTGTGTGTGCACTTGGATGGGTTAAATGCAGAGCACAGATTCTGAGTATGGGTCACCATACTTGGCAACACGTCACTTCACTTTTTTTCACTTTAAAACACCAAATGGTTATAAAATAGCCTGTGACAAGAACAGAGAGTCTCTCTTGCCCCACCCACCCATGCACGATAATATTGTGTATCGTCGATCCATAAATGACTTGATAAATGACCATATCACCCAACACTAATTTAGACAGTTTGATATTCATCCAATTAAAATAAACATTTGTGTGTTCAAAAAGTAAGGAAATGCTTATATCATTTCACTCTTCAACAAAGCAAACCAACTCCGTGACGTCACACTGTGCAAGATGGCGGCACCCTTGCAGCAAAAGCTTTGAAATTGTTACATTAATCATGTTTGTTATAATTTTTTTAATCAAAGTGGAAATCAGTTTACTAAAAAATTTCAACTTGACTGACTTCCACTTTAAAGCTGATTTCAAAGTTATTTCAGTCACTTTTCTAATGTGCATTAGATGTATTCAGTCACACAAAATGAACAATGAGCAGGTGACTTGTCTTGACATGAGTTCAGATTGACCTGTGTCTCATTTCCATCCTCAGTGTATTTCATATATCATGTTCAATGTTATTTCAGTATATTTGCAGTTGACAGTGAATTGATAGTGACTAGTAATGAATTAAAACCTGTAGCTCTTTGTTCTCTATTGTGACATTTATACTTGCAGAAATATACTGAAAGCATTCTCAGTAAGGTTTTCGTCAAAATGGAGGGTCTTTCTGCAGTCTCTCCTCTGTGCAAATTTTGATCACTGTCTCTCCTCTCTCTTTATCTCTCCCCCTCTCCCCTCTCTCTGGCTCTCTCTCTCTCCCTCACACCTTTTCACGAGCAATCTGTCTGGAAGTAATATCTAACTGTCTTTTCTCTGTAAGCTGTATCTCTCTCTTCCTCTCCTGATGCTCCACTGCCTCTCTCTAAGCTATTCAAAGTTGGTATGAAACATGGTAGCCCCACCCGCCTCTCATTTCTCTCACACTCTTTCTCACTTTGATTTCTCTGTCTTTTTGAAGTGTCCCAGTAATTCCCCATCATGGTTTTTGTTTTCCCAAACACTTGTGGGTTTGTGGAGTTTTCTACATGTCGACATGACGTGCTCTCTATTGATGCCATAACTCTGCAAGGTGGTTTTCATACCTACCCGCTGCATGGCCCCGCCCCTTTACAGCTATAGGCTGATCTTTTATTTGTTTGTTTTTTCTTCCTAAATGCTTTCTCATACCAAAGCCTTCCACGCGCTCTGCATGCTTTGTCCTCCTCACAGTGTTTCTGTGCTGCAGTTAGTCTGAGTAAATGTGCCCTGCCCACGTTCGGTCTCGGGTGACTACGTTTGGCACAGTTAAACATAGTCGGGAGAAGCAAAAAAAAAAAGACAACCCTGCCATTTTCTGACCAAACTCCTGCATTTCCTATGTACTGACCTGTATATTATTTTTGTCCCCCCTTCCAACTCTTTTTCTTTTCTTTTTCTTTTATCCCACACTGTTTCCAACCCTTCCTCTTCCCTCTTCTCTCCTCTTCTCTCCTCTCCTGACTCCTCTGTGATTGGTTGGCTCTTTCTCTCCTGCAATCCTGTCTCCCCGCCCTCCACCCATTCATGCTTTGTGCCTAAACCAAAACAAATGTTCCTCCTCGGACCGACTTGCCCCAATTAACTGCCTTGATCCATGCTCCATGACCACCTCACCATTCTACGGGAAACCACCCTCCGTTATGGATGATCTGTTCATCTCCGCTCTACCTCGACTCTTCTCTCTTCCTGTCTTACGCTGCTTGCTCTTCTCTCCTTCTAAAGATGGTTACGCCCCAAAGTCTGTTTACCCTCTTCGGTATGTTATCGTTAGCAATCTACCTCTTTTTTGTTTATCTCTTGTTAATTTCATTTCAGTTGTTTTTTTTGTTTTTGTTTTTTTTAATCTTTCATTTATCATTTAAGGGTTAGCTAATAATCTGGCACTAGTGTAACAACAGTTTCTTAGTTTTCCAGTTGAATTTGTTTAGTTCTATTATGCCAAGTTTCAAATTAAATAGTTTTTTTTTTCTTTCATTAATTTGTTTTTCCTTGGCTTTCGAAGCCTCTGTCTCTATCTTGCTCTATCTGTCTCTCTTCATGTACAGCTTATATTAATGCATGGTTGATTGTTTTGCATGTAGGTTTTTGTTTTTTTACTTTGCCATATCACATGAGCTTGTTTTTGGAGGGCGTATCAAAATAAGTTGTGTCTGTTAGAAGCACTGTTTTGGACTCTTTGGTGTAGATAATTTGGAAGATTTGTACCATCATCTTCACCTTTCATGTCAGAACCGGAGCTTCTGAAGCACTAACTTGTCCTTCCTGGTTCACTCCTCTTCTCCTCCTCCTCCTCCTCCTTCCCTCCCTCTTCCATCTGCCTCTCGCCTAACCGAAGGTGTCTACGGTGACGTGCAGCGTGTGAAGATCCTTTACAATAAGAAGGACAGTGCTCTAATCCAGATGTCTGATGGAAACCAAGCCCAGTTAGGTAAGCTGACACGCTGTTCTTTTCGCGATTAACATGTATTGTTTTTATATTGCATTAAGACAAACAAAGAGCTGTCTTTGTCTTCGTTATCTAGCCATGAGCCATCTGAACGGGCAGAAGATGTATGGCAAGATCATCCGTGTGACCCTCTCCAAGCACCAGACAGTACAGCTGCCCAGAGAGGGTTTAGATGATCAGGGCCTGACCAAGGACTTCACAAGTTCTCCTCTGCATCGCTTCAAGAAGCCTGGGTCTAAGAACTTCCAGAACATCTTCCCCCCTTCAGCTACACTCCATCTCTCCAACATACCGTGAGCATGCAGGAGAACATCAGATTTGTGTATAATTGTGCAGCTGTGCAGATTTGTACAGTCCTAATGAATGCTAGTGGTGATTTTTCTCTAGGTTTTGCCATTTTATTAATACATGTGTATTATTCTGGAATCATAAATCTTGGACCAAGTGCTGACCATCTTTTAAAATTAATTGTCAGTTTTTTCCCTTGCAGTGGCTTTCAGTTCAAGTCTGAGATTAAAATGTGACTACCAAGGAAAATTAGTTTTCCTTTTTTATTGGTTCATGCATCATGATAGCATTTTACCATTTACTCTGAGGAAATGCTAATAACTGCTTGTTTCCCCTCCAGTGAGAATGTGACCGAGGAGGATTTACGACTGCTCTTCTCAAACTCTGGCGGTACAGTGAAATAAATTAATTGTCAGTTTTTTCCCTTGCAGTGGCTTTCAGTTCAAGTCTGAGATTAAAATGCGACTACCAAGGAAAATTAGTTTTCCTTTTTTATTGGTTCATGCATCATGATAGCATTTTACCATTTACTCTGAGGAAATGCTAATAACTGCTTGTTTCCCCTCCAGTGAGAATGTGACCGAGGAGGATTTACGACTGCTCTTCTCAAACTCTGGCGGTACAGTGAAAGCGTTCAAGTTTTTCCAGTAAGAACCCACTGCATTCCATTTCTTAGTCATTTTTGTCTACATTCACGATCCTCGGTTTGACCATCACTTATTTTTTTAAATCATTATTATTTCTAGAGATCGCAAAATGGCTCTGCTGCAGATGTCCACGGCGGAGGAGGCGATTCAGGCACTCATTGACCTTCACAACTACGACATGGGCCGTGGCCACCGCCTGAGAGTGTCCTTCTCAAAGTCCACCATCTGAGGATGCCCTGGTGCTATGTCACCTTTCCTTTCTCTCTCCCAGGAGCCTCAAGTCGAATTAATTTTTACCAGTCATTCCTTAACACCATATCAAGAACTTCAATGAGAATGGCCCTTAAAGGAACACTCGCTCTGTATCTGCTCCTTCTATTGTTTGTGTATGGCCAGCTGTTACTCTGTTTTAGGATGGATTGACAAAAATGTGCCACTGCATTCAATTTCTTAGTCATTTTTATGTACATTCAAGGTTGTCGCTTTGACCGTCATGTTTGTTTTCTTTTACTTTCTAGAGATCGCAAAATGGCTCTGCTGCAGATGTCCACAGTGGAGGAGGCGATTCAGACACTCATCGACCTTCACAATTATGACATGGGCCGTGGCCACCGCCTGAGAGTGTCCTTCTCAAAGTCCACCATCTGAGGATGCCCTGGTGCTATGTCACCTTTCCTTTCTCTCTCCCAGGAGCCTCAAGTCGAATTAATTTTTACCAGTCATTCCTTAACACCATATCAAGAACTTCAATGAGAATGGCCCTTAAAGGAACACTCGCTCTGTATCTGCTCCTTCTATTGTTTGTGTATGGCCAGCTGTTATTCTGTTTTAGGATGGATTGACAAAAATGTGCCTTACTTAGCAAAATAGCATCATCCCTTTGCTCTCGTTGTTACACATTATAGAGGCTTAGGCACATTATGTGTGATGATACAGAAAACGTAACCTTTACAGTCACCTTGCTTTGTTGTTTTGATGGTTTTTGAAAGTGATAGGTTTTGCTCTTGCCCAATGTGGCCTCACCTTGTCATTGTTCAAAACCAATTCAATTCAAGCTTTGAAAGCTAGTCGGCTTGCTTTGATTCAGAGGCAGAAGCTCATTTTTATGATCTATTGAATTGAATCTGAACACAAGTAACTGGATTTGATGAAACATACTCCAAGTTGTAAATTATCTCGTGAATTTGTTTTAATTTCGGGCTGTAGTGTTTTATTTTTCTTCTTTGATCAGGCACCCAAGGTACTTTTTGTAATTGAAACCTGTGGTAAACAAAACTCTGACAGTGGTGAGCACAATCTGTGACGTATAGTACCTGCTTGGATATTTTTCACTCACTTTTGCTTCAGAGAATTCTGTTACCAATTTTTTTTTTTAGATGAAAATCAGAGCATGTGCTGATGGATCTCGGCAGTTGCATGTGTCAGATTGACCATGTTTGATGTTGTGATGTCACATTAATGTAGGGACTGTTGGGACCAAAGTAAATGTGCCTTTAGTCTTACTTTATTCTGCATTGTACAAAATGTTTTATTCAACCTCTGCAATATTTGTATCAACGGAGGAAAAAAAAAAAAAAAAAAAAAATCAGACTTTCCAACAGGCATCACTCATATAAATGATCATTAATTGTCCTTGTTCGTGGTTGTACAAGAATCGCTTACTGATTCTACTGAAAATTGACATTTTTGTGGTCTCGGCCTGGGAAACAAGGGGAAGGGGGGTGTTCTGTACATTTTCTACATGAATTAAGTTTTTACATCTTTAGGAATGTAAAGTTCAGTATAGAAGCGGCACAATTAAAAGTTCTTTTTTCTACCAAGCTCTTGCTTGATGGTCCCTGTGTGGTGTAGTGCTTTTATTCTGTAGCATGCTGAATAAACTCTTCTCGCTCTGCATTCACCTCTGCCTCTCTGCTGTCTCTTCCTCTTCCTGTACTGTCCTCTGTATCTCACTTAGCTCTTTTTCTCTGATGCACTCTTTCCAGGGTGTAGAAAAACACTTGACTTGGTATAAAAATACACCCTGGTAGTAAAACATGAAAACGATGTAATCTTTGACTTTATTTGCAGTGATAATCTGTAACTTTCTCATCCTGTTGTCTTATTCTATATTTTCTCATACTTATCCACTTTTGTTTTTGCATATCCAACCTGGATATCAGTGTGCCATTTTCTTGTCCCCATAATCTATCTCAGAAAGCAGGGTGTTTGGGCAACAGATTGGACCCTGTGTTAAGTTGCATGTAATACAATGGAGAAGAGGTGCTTACAGTATTCAGCCTTTCATCATGCGACTGATTGTGTGATTGTTTGTTGGAAGTCTGGAGGAGAAAGGACAATCAACTGGCACCGATTTGAGCTAAGATGCAAGGTACAAAAGTTGCAGCTTGCACCCTTTTTGTGAACTGGTATAAATATAGTAACAGTGCTGTGCTAGAATCCCTCTGGGAGTGTTTCTTTTTTGTTAAGCATGCGATCTTTTATATAGAAAGAAAGCTTTTACAGAGCACAATAGCATTCCTATAGTTGAACATAAAGGAGATTCAACGTTTTTGCAGTTGTGTTGCCTCTAGGATTGGCTGCTTGGCATCAAAATCTTAATATTTTGGATTTTGCAATGTGAGTACAGTGAGATAAGGCTGTTTCCACCAAATTTCATAGCGCACAAAAAAATTTCATAGCGCACAAAATCGAACATAGAAAAGTAACTGAAAATGTGTCTATAGGCAAATGATTGCTGGCATTTTTGCTATAATTATGACAAAGCTGCCTGTTTTCATACTTTATTAACAGAAGCTGCAGGGAATATTGATATATTAAATTAACCATGATTCATTATGTGATTCCAGAAGTTTCAAGAACTGCATTTTCCTCAGTAAAACAATTATTGTGGGGGAAAATGATTTCTTGATTTTGAATTTTCTTTCTTTAATTTTAATTCAGATTAGAGTTCAATTTATTACTTGTATTAAGCTATGTACTGAAGTGGCCCCTAATATGCACCCTATATTATGGCATTTTCTTTTATTTACTGGTTTAAAAGCCTTCTAAATTAAAAAGTGAAGTTTTTATTTTATTTTTTTACATTGAAATATTGGCTGAAGACTATATATTTTATAAATTTCAACATTTTTTGCAAAAATAATTAGCCACTTAAAGTGCAAGACTGCCAAAATCGATGGCCACCACAGTAGTTCTGCTCCAAACCATATTGGAACATTTGCTAATTTAAATTTCTGAATAAAAAAATGTGCTTTTAAATGTGCTAATTGAACTTAACAAGCCTGCTCCAAAGCTCAGGCTTTTTCCTAAAACTTTGGGATCTTGTTATTGTGTTGTGAATATTCTGGATGCCAAAGCTCCCTTGAACAATCCAAGCCCACTCTGCTCATTATGTTGTTGCAAGGCCACCTGTAACTCACCACGTAGCCTTTAATACTATTAATGCCTGGAGAAAAGAACTGCTGTTTCTCTCTGCTTTAAGAAAAGACTGCCAGAGAACAAGCTGTAGGCCTAATACAGGTCAGTTCAGAGATCAACAAGGGACAAAAAACTACTAGAATTGTTTGACTGGATAACTGATGTTTTTCTTCAACAGCTATTATAATTGTACACAATTGTGGACAGTTATAGTGAGACGTCATGCAGTGCTAAATAGGAGTCATCAGTTGTACTGTGACAGATCGCATTTCCACATGCCCAGTCTGATTCAGAGCAGTTTCTCCACTGTAAGTACAGAAATAGTAGCATTGTCTTGCCCTTCCTTAGTCTTTGTAGGTCAAAATGATTTCCCAAGGAGAATTAAATATTTAGAAGAGACAAGTATGATCATTCCACCCTCTTTACTTTGGGAAATTGGCATTGGTATTAGAGGTTGCACTGGGTTTGAATTATTAAACGGCTCTCTGATACTCGGCAGATTTAATTAGCATAGCGTAATTATGACCCAAATGTCAACAGACTCCATGGTTCTCCATATATTAAACATATCGCCAACCGATCTCCATATATTACAATTTTTTTTCCTTTAATCACTTCCTATTATGTGTCGGTTTGACAATTTTGCTCTTTAGTCCAAGGTTTGTTGCATTGGGGCATATTCCAGCTGTGAAGTTCAGGATAGACTAACCTTGAAGGAAACCTACATCTCCTGCAGTTTTAAATGGATAGTTCACTCGAAATGGAAAATTCTGTCATTAAAATAAAAAATAAAAAAATTTGCCCATAAATTACCCTCAAGTCATCCTAGGTGTATATGACTTTCTTCTTTCAGACGAATCCTGTCGGAGTTATGTTAAAAATTATCTTTGATCTTTCAAGCTGTTCAATGCCACTCAGCGGGTGTTGCATGCATCAGTCCAAAAGAAGTTAAATGAAAAGCGCCCATCCATAAAAAAAGTGTCTCACACAGCTCCGGGGGGTGAACAAAGGCCTCCTGTAGCAAATCGATGCATTTTTGTAAGAAAAATATCCATATTCAAAACTTAATAATTACTTTAATGTAGCTTGTGCCAACAACTGTACACAGAAGCAGCTCTGGGTGGATGACGTAAGAGGTCAGTGTTGCGCATGCGCCGCTCAGAAGTGACAAACGCGGAAGCGCAGGGGAGAGATCAAAACAAAACACCGGTCACTTATTAGAAGTACAAAACGAGGATTTTATTTATATATAAGCTAAGAGGAGACTGGTTTTCTTTTGCTAAAGTAAGGAAACGTTGCTTCCTTTGCTCCTGTTAACAAACTTTGGTTTTCACCAGACTCACCAGTGCATGCGCAACGCTAAACTCATACGTCATCCGCCTGGAGCTGCTTCCGTGTACAACTGTTGGCGCAAGCTACATTAAAGTGATTATTACGTTTTAATTATGGATATATTTCTTACAAAAATGCATCGGTTTGCTACAGTAGGCCTTTGTTCACCCACCCTGAGCCATGTGAGACACTTTTTTTTTTTTTTATGGAAGGGCGCTTTTTATTTAACTCCTTTTGGACTGGTGCATGCAAGACCTGCTGGGTGGCATTAAACAGCTTGAAAGATCAAAGACCATTTTTAATATAACTCCGACTGGATTCGTCTGAAAGAAGAAAGTCATATACACCTAGGATGACTTGAGGGTGAGTAATTTATGGGCTAATTTTCATTTTTGGGTGAACTAACCCTTTAATCTCTCAAGATGTTCCAAACCTTTTTGGCTTTCTTTTGTCAATGGAACACAAGATTTTTATTTTTATTATTATTATAATTTTTAAGAATATTCTGGCCTCTATTTTCAATATAGTGTATGAGGCCTGGGGATGACACCCAGCTACCTGGGACATTCTCAGAACTTTGGCTATTGTTCTTTCAGCAATGTTAATAGAATGTAAACTTTATCACATAAACGTTATTTATACATTGTTCATGGAACGTTTATTTTTCCTGAAAAATCTTGTCTAACTTTTTTTAAAAATTATATTTCTTAAGAACGTTCAGAGAATAATCAAAGGTAGCGTTCCCATAATATTAGCAAAATGATCAAATGGAATGCTCCATTGTTAAAAAAAACATTTTTTTCATTGTTCAGAGAACATTCACAAATAGGCCTAACGTTTTCGTAACTTAATGAGAACATTAGCAAATCGTATTTGTTATTTTGCAGCAACATTTTGTTTGCTAGGAAGCTGCAAAATAACAAAAAAGAACCAAAGTATAATAAACTATATTGCAAGTCTTCTAAAGTCTAGCTTTTTGTAAGAAACAGAATGAACTTTGCATTCCACTATGCTGCTTCTCTATTTATTTAAAAATGTTTCTATGTAAACATGCGCTACACAGACTTGATGGGCTTCTTGTCAATCACGCTTCTCATCGACTGCATTTTAGCGCATGATAGCATTCTAAAAACATGGTGCTCAAGTTGGAGTTTAAAATTTAAAAATAGATCTTGCATTTTTCCTCTACTCCAATACACTGCGTCCTGTGTTTTTAATTGCAAAAATGGCACCCAAGTCATTATTCACTGAAAATGTAGACATTGGCCTGTTTTAATTCGTCAACTAACAGTTTTGTCTGGTTTAAAAAAGTAGTCTGGATGATTCGTTTATGAATCCAGTGATCCAGTTCTCGAGTTCAACTCATGATTCAGTCGCAGTAGTTAAAAGTCATATGGGTGACTTTGATCCCAGATAGTCTGCAAGATGTCTGTTAAAGATTGCTTCATCTGGAAAGCATCTGCTGTGTGCAAACATCTGATAGATGTCTTTAAGATGTCAGTTTTACATACATTCTAAATCATAAACATCTTAAAGATGTTATTTGACATCTAATAGGAAACGTCCTAAAGACGTATTGCAGATGTGCAAACATTCTAAAAAATAGGTCTTGCAGATGTAAATGCAGAAGTCAAATAGACATCTCTGTGATGTCCGTGTGCTATCAGGGATATGGTACCTTTGCATTCTTATTGAAGCTTGAAAGCTTCCATCCCAATTTATTACAATTGCATAAAAAAAAAACGATGGAAGAAAGTCAAGGGTTCAGAATTAGGGATGCACGATATTGGATTTTTGCCGATATGCCGATATTTTTCAGCTCATTTTGGCCGATAGCCGATGGCGATATATTTCCTTTTGTTTGTAAACACCAAGTATCTCCTGTGTGGAAATTATACGCAAATTATTTTTTACTTTTGGTTAGTTTTTAACAATAACTTATTTGTTAGAATTAAATAAACAATAATGAAGTTCTTTTATAATGACAGTACAGGTGCATCTCAGTAAATTAGAATGTCGTGGAAAAGTTCATTTATTTCAGTAATTCAACTCAAATTGTGAAACTCGT